ATCTGCCTGTTCTGCACCCCACTCTGTCTCTGGTGAATCCTCTCACCCTCCGCATCTCTGGCCTGTACCCCAGTTCTGTACGAATAAATAAATAAATATTTTTAAAAAAAGATTTATTTATACATACAAAACTGGGGTACAGGCCAGAGGTGTGGTGAGTGAGCGGATTCACCAGAGACAGAGTGGGGAGCAGAACAGGCAGATTGCCTGAAACATACTGCTGAGGGGAGCAGCGGGCACATCAGGAGAGGTCTGCTGAGCCACGTGGGTCACCTTCCTGGCTGGGGATCAAACTCGTGCTGCAGTGGCTGCGATAGCTTCATAATGTTGTGCTCTAACCCACTGAACCATCAGGGAGGGCCCTAGTTTTAGAGTAATGTCCACATGTCACAAATATATTTTAGCAAGAAGGTTATTTTGCAAAAACTCTGAAAAAATGAGGATAGTTGCCTCATTTTTACTCTTCCTCTGCCCGTTTTTCTCAGCCATACCCTCTTTAGAGGCTTGCTTACCCTGTCATGGGTGTCTTTATTAATTTGCCACCTGCTTCTGATTGTTCCATTCTGTGCTCAGTGGAGAACTGAGACAAGTCAGTCTATCTATCAATGAAACAATCAATCAATATGAATGAAGATTTTTTTTAAATTCTCAATTTCGTTTTTTCCAAAGATTTTTATTTATGCATACAGAAAGGGGGTACAAACCAGAGGTGCAGAGGCGGTGAGAAGATTCACCAGAGATAGACTGGGGAGCAGAACAGGCAGATTGATGAAGTACCCTGCTGACAGGAGAAGCGGGATGGTCAGCAGAGGTCTGCCTCGCCCCCATGTGGATCTCCTGCAGGGCCAGGGATTGAACTGGCAGTGAAGCAGCTGCAGCTAGCTTGTAGTGCTGTGTCCTTACCAATTGTGCAACCAGAGAGGGCCCACGAATGAAGAATTTTAAAACACCTAACAGAAATTGTGAAATGTAGAGTGGTACAGTGGAAAAGAGAAAGTTCAGGAGCAGTGCTTTTTGAGCAATGCTTTCTAAAGAGGGTTGTACTATTTACTATCAGTCAAGGACAGAAACTTAACAAGTAAAACAAATGATACTGAAAAGTACCGAAGTCTAGCTTAAAATGAATGCTGTGCCCTGTAGCCACTGAAGAGGCTACCTGTAAGGCAATTATAATTAAATACAATTTTTTCAAAGCATGAACTTTTTTAAAAAAAGATTTATTTATTTATGCATACAGAACTGAGGTACAGGCCAGAGATGCGGAGGGTGAGAGGCTTCACCAGAGACAGAATGGGGAGCAGAACAGGCAGATAGACGAAGTACACTGCTGAGGGGAGCAGCGGGCGGGT